TATCCGAAGAAGAACGCCTCGCGTGCGAGGGTACGCCCTACGTACGAAATTAGTACGCCCCTCGGTCGCCTTTCCTCCTGCAGTCTGAAGCATGCCACGATGATCCATCCGGATTGTGACACGTGCCGTATTACACCCCGTGTTTTGCGATACTACCCCCCGCGTAGTACAAGGCCTCCGGCCTATAAAAGGGTTGCGAGGACAGCTCATTTCCTCACCACATTCTTCACTTCTTTCTCTTTCTAGCCACCCTAAACCACCCATGAAGGCTAGGGAACCTCCCTAGCACTAGAAGAAAGCCCCAAGTTTTTCAATTTAGAAACTCTGCCCCCATATAGCCCGTTTTTCAAGCAAACCTCCCGGTTTCATCAAAGAATATTATTTTAAGAAGCAAAGTGTTGTCCGAATCACCATCTTATCACGTGAGTGTATAGTCATTTTTATCTTACACATAGATATGAAGTATTTTATATAAATTATGTGCTATGTGTATATATTATCTGTTTACCTAAGATGTATGTTGGATGAAAGATTTAAACTTTGTTTTTCATATTTAAACTGTATATGTATTTTATATCTACAAATATGTTGGGTAAAACATGGGTAGATGAAATAGTTGATGTGTGATGAAATAAAATGATGAGAGGCATCGACGTTGACGATGTTCCAATCATCTAGTGGAGTATAGATGACGACCACATACTTTTCTTGACAGTCCAGTGGAACGCTAGCAGGCTCGCAACATGTAGGTGTTTGTGAACGATGTGTTCACCAGTGTACTCCATCCCCTTTATGGTTGCCTTACGGACATTTATGGCCGATAAATCCCCTCAGCAGTAGAGTCCACCCCATTGATGATACTTAGGATAGGTCCCTTTTATTAGATGCTTTAGGGGCATGAAGTGAGGATAACGAGAACGGGTAATCAGGGTTTGTTTGGTTTAATGAAATTAATAAACTTATTTATTATGGGTTAGCCTTTCCAGCCTGACCCACTCAGTTTCCTGTATTACAGGTAGTGGCAAGGGCACAGTTGGATGATCTGACAACAGATTATGGATTTATAGGCCAATAGAAAATATATAGAAAATTAATAGGCCTATATTGTTTTTAGGCCAATTTTGTTTTGTGGCCTATGTTACTTTTGGTTTATGCTTTTGATTTGTATCGATGTTGACATCCCGAGTTTTATAATATAATATAAATACATTTCTTTAAGAAATGCTTTGATAAATCTTTATCATATTTCGTTTTGGGAACAAATTTCACAAGACTTTTCTTTAAAGATTACTCTGATTTTATTATAAAAGAATAAACGAAATTGGTGTTTTCTGGCCGTGAAATTGAGGATGTCACAGATCACTTGCAAATTTTGATAAAATTGAACCAAGTATGGAATCGAATGTGATTTCAATTAGTGTTTGCTTGAGTCGAAAGTATTTTATGATCTACAGTCGAAATCCAAAAGATTTATAGTATCGAAAGTGATTTGGGTTGATAGTCGAATGTTCATTAATCGACATTTCAAAGATGAATTCAATTATTACGGAAGGTGAGTCTGAGTCGAACGTGTTTCGAGTTTGATAGTCGAAAGCGAAATTGATTTGCTTTGGTCGAGAGTTCAAGGTTGAGTTCGACTAGTATGGTAACTTGTTTGGAGTCGATTTTGGCTGGTGTTGTGTTCTTTCGCATCCAGAACGGTTTGGCGAAGATGAGATCAAAAGTTGTGAATGTGGTCCCTAATCTTTCAACATTTTGACAGTTTAAACCCAGTTTCGAATCATCGGTATATTTTTGTGAAGTGGGAAGATTTTTCGAATTCAGTCCTTGAATTTTATGTGAAAATGCACTTTATACCTACTTTCACATTTGGGGTAAAGTTTCGCATTTAAAGCTGATTTTTTGGAATTGGGCCCTGAAGTACATGTGAAAATGGATGTTTGTACCCATTTTTCGAAATTCTTTCAACTCTCACCCAAATGTCGAAATTTTCACAATTCTTGGAAAATTTTCTCGGCTTTTTGTGATTGTTTTTGGTGCAAGATTTTTTTGTGGTATATGAACAATGTGTGTTCATTTTCAAGTCTGGTAAGTTGAAGATTTGAAGACATCGGCATATTTTTTGGAGTTTCTCGGATTGAAGAGGTTCATTTTCGTCACACATCGAGGGGGAGTTTCGTATGCAATTCCTTGAGTGTTTCTCATATCCATGTGTGTTTTATAATTATTTGTTGATTATAAAAATGGGAGAAGATCGAAATGGGTATTCGAAGATAATTAGATATTCTTTTTCAAAGCGGATTTGAAGATCGGTGTTACTTCGAGGGGGAGTCGGTCTTGATCGCTTGGAGCTCGTTTGGATATTGAAGCTGGGATATTCAATCCTAACTTTGAGGGGAGATTGTTAGGGTGCAAAGTTCTTCTAGGACCTGATGTAGGATTACATTCTTAGATTGTGTAATGGGTTGAGTTTTTCCTATAAATAGGAAGTGAGTAGCTCTCATTTAAACTAAGAACCCATTTGTGTGAGATTTAGTCTAGAGATAGAAATCATTAGAACACCCACTTTGTAAACTCTTTCTAGTCTAATGGAGAATAAATAGAGAATTATTTACATTGTGTGTTCTTCCCTTATGTTTGATTCACATTCATCATTTGTTATACGCTCTTCTAACACAACTTTTTGGACTTTTTAACTACAAATCATTGAAACAAAAAAAAAACATATAACTAACATGGTTCAAGATATTTTCCTCTAATCTATGAATCCATATTTCTTCTCGTTGAAAATTTTCAGATAATCTAGAGCAAAATTTCGGAATGTGTTAGGCACCACATGTGATATTTTATTTATATAGGTGGGTGTGTGTGTGTTGGGGGGGGGGGGGAGGAGGAGGAGTATGGGACATAAGATGGTAAGATCCATCTGATCTCGAATCCAAAACATCCCATTCCAAATTTGATGTTCATTTTTTTGGATCATCGTTCATTTTTGTTACGTGTTATCTTGGTTATTTCGTGTAATACTCAAGATATACGTAGTCAAATTTGTAAATATCTTTACTTTTAAAAAAAAAAAGTAATTATTATAGACTAGTAAAAGAAAAAGATAAAACAAATACAAAATATATTTTAGTTATTTGGGACCAAAAGGTCGATAAAATCCATAATTATGGCCGGAATAGTTATTATAAAAATAAAAAATAATAATTAAAAAAAAAAAAGAGAGAGAAATTGAACTGCAAATTTAAAAACCATTTTTGTAACCTTTAGCATAATTTATATTGTGAAATTCTATAAGTAACCCCCGCCCCCCCCCCCCCCCCCCTTTTTTTTTTTCTTGTATATCCTTTCCTAATGATGTGATGATTTATGAATTAATATATATATATATATATATATATATATATATATATATATATATATATATATATATATATATATATATATATATATATATATATATATAATAGCACCTATTATTTACTTCCAACATTTATATTTTATAGACTTCTTCTAGATAAGTAATTTATATTGTGAAATTCTATAAGTAACACCCCACCCCCCCCCCCCCCCCCTCCTCTCCTCCTTTCTCCAGAATTGTTTTGTATATCCTTTCCTAATGATGTGATGATTTATGAATTAATATGATATATATAATAGCACCTATTATTTAATTCCAACATTTATATTTTATAGACTTCTTCTAGATAAGTAGTTACTTAGTTGGTAAGATGAAGTATTTGTTAAAATGTTTTACGTGCGAGTTTCACAAATATTATCACCTTTTAAAAGGCATATATATGTTAGTCAAAAGATATAAGATCCATTGATGTGTAAAACCTTTTATATGGATGTATAAACAAGTTGAATAAATATAAATGTTTTCAACTTTGTATATTTGATGTGATCTTTTTCCTTTCAATCTCAACATTGATTCATTAAAAATATGAAAGAAACATGGAACAGTATAATTTTCATTATTGGAAGATTGTTTCAAACTTAAACTGTACATGTCGTGTTCAATCAAATATGTTGTCAATTTCCGTTGAATTATGTTTCCTTATAAGGAGATACTTTCTTTGTCTAAAAGAAATATCACATTGATCGGAAGAAAATGTTTGGTTTTCACCTGATATATCTAAAACAATAGTAAACAATATACGAAAATGCTACGAATGAAAACTAGTGTTCCTGATATTTATATGTATTTATTAACGGATTTAGAATAAAAGTTAAAGAATTTCAAATTGGTTTTAAGTACAATCTTGTAAAAAGTTGATAAATGATTGATTGTTTTAAATTAAAGTTGGATGAGTTTTTATTATTTTCTTCTTGAAAAATTATATTTAAGTTTTGATAAATTAAATATTCTTTTATTTTTATTCTTATTTATTATGCTACTCATATCAAAATAATGATAAGTATCCTAAAATATTATTATTTTATTCAAACGTGATATTTTACATCATTTTATATGGATAGGAGGATATATATGAAAAAAAGATAGGATGATATTTAATTTTTTTTTTTTGAAAGAGATATTTAATTTCTCTTGAGTTTTAACTATTTTTAATATGTTTATGTTTATATTTTTTGTTTTGAAAACATACCAAAAATATTATGGGATTGGATAGTAAAAATAAATATGAATTAATTATGGATATATAAGTTTGAATGAACTTTTTATGTCATAAATTAGAAATACACTACTACGTCTTTTTTATGTCATAAATTAGAAATGTAGTACTATGTTTGTCTTAAACCTTAATTAGCTTTTTGAACTTAACTTTGTATGTAACTCCTATGTTTTGTTTTGGGACACATTTATATGATTATATGATTAAGTATGAACTAAGTAAACAAACAGATGGGATTATCATATACAATAAACATAACATCAATTGAACAAAATGGATGGAGCAGGCGAATGGACGATGGTAAATCGTCGGTGAACACAAAACTTGGATAAATGGTGGGATCACAAGGGGGTTACCACCATGTTCGTATCAAACATATCGGACGGTGTTAACAAAGAGACAATAAGGAAGACATTCATCAAATATGGAGAGCTAACGGACGTTTACATGGCAACAAAAAGAGATTCAAAAAAGAAGAATTTTGCCTTCATCGGATTCAGAAAGGTAAGCAAGGAATGGGAATTGGAAGCGGCATTACAATCAATCAAATGTGCGGGATATCTACTGGAAGTTAATATCACGAGGTTTGAAAGAAAGGTGACGACTAAGCTAATTAAAGGTTGGATGAAAAAACCCCAGAATGGTCATAGACATGCGGGTCAGTCATTTTGTGATGGTAGATCATTTATGGAAGCTACGACTGGGAGACCCCATCAACCGCCACCACCACCACCACCTCCACCCCGTCCCCCCTTTCCAAAAAAAACGATGACACTAATAGAAGGATCAACAATGGCAGAATGGATCCACAACCCCTTAAATCTGGTATGAGAAGCTCACAGTCTTGAGAAATTACAGAGAATCCCACTCATGTTCATAATAGGTAACGAACAGGCATATGGTATGAAGTATCTTGGCGATCTAATGGTAGGCATCCGCTTGCGGTCCCTGTCTGAAGCCAAAAAGTTCTTAGCAATAAAGACTGTATGGGGTGAGTGGCTCAAGGATTTCAAGACTGGAGATGCAATCAATGGAAAATTTGATCGAATTTCTTGGTTGAAAATTGTTGGACTTCCTGTTAGTCTTTAGAATGAGGAAACCTTTTCCAGAATCGCCGGTGAATTCAGTAAGGTGTTAGAACCAGTGGAGATCCTTCCAAGCACTCAAGATCTGTCCCTTGGAAACATATATGTCTTAACTAGGAAGAATTTAAGGATTAATGAGGAGATTCCAATGGAAATTAATCGCAACATCTTCAATGTTAAGGTAATGGAAATAGATTTTGATTGGTCCCCATTCCCATCAAGACCTTATGACATAAGTAAAATCGTTGAGCAAGATGAAGCGATGGCCACGAGTGATTTCGTTGACATAATGATGAACCTGGAGGAAAAAACTTTGGAAGAAGGTGAAATCCAAGATGAAGTCACTGGAGAATTTTCCGTACCGGTAACGATGGAAAGGCATGCAGAATTCGAACAGGTTGAAGTTGAGGAATCGATAGGAATCCAAAAGCCACAGTGTGACATTCAAGTTCCGCTGTCATTTGAAAATAACCAGGTCATTGATGTGGAGACGATTAATGATGAATACAATCACAAGGCGTACCCAAACACTAGAAATCTATCCAACTTAATAAACAAGGTGAACGGTCATTATAGGTCGATTGGAAAATTAGCAACTATGGGTTGCTTTGGGCCTTTTCCCTCAAGTGAGGGTATCACCTCGCCTATTGGGCCATCCCTGCCTTTGGATCCCCTAAATGCCCAAAACGTGAGGTCCAAGTATGAAGCAGGCAATACAATTGAAAAACGGCGTAGAATAATCAGGACCTCATGTACATAACCACCTTCAAGGTAATTATCATTCGATCTAAACAACCCCAATATAATACCACCTGAACAGATCCTTCTCCCAGATTCCCCTGATTTTGCATCGCCAATTAACGAGACAAGGAAAACAGTGGAGATAGGTCAAATCCTTGGATTTAAGATCGATAATGAAGACCCCATTCTCATAGAGGTTATGGAAGAAGCCGGCGATATCCATATTCCCTAATGAATATTATGACTCTAAATATTTGTGGTATGGGAGAGAACCATAAAGTTAACTGGGCTTGTAGATTATGTAGATCCCAGAACCTTGTCCTCATGGTGATTTAAGAAACACAACTAAATGATCTTCAACGCTCACATGATACCTCAAGATGTTGGAGCAATGATAATCATGGATTTGAATTCGTAAATGCAGTTGGCAGATTTGTGACATCCCCAAATTCACGGCCAGAAAATACCTGTTTGTTTATACTTTGTTTAAAAATTAGAGTAATATTTTAAATAAAAGAGTTGCGGAATTCGTCCCCAAGACAAAATATGATAAAGATTTATCAAAGCATTTCTGTAGAAATGTATTTCATTAAAAGACTCAGGATGTCATGTTCGATACAGATCAAAAGTATAAACAGTACAATATAAGTCTTACTACATTATTTCATACCTACAGGCCTATATCTGTAATCCCTCATCCAAAACATCACATCGCTCGAGCGCCACTACCTGTAATACATAAAACTGAGTGGGTCAGGCTTGGGATCCTAGTGAGCACATAGGTTTTTCAACCCACAATAAATAAGTTTATTAATTTCATCAACCAACAATAACCCTATTATCCATTCCGGTTATCCTCACATTACGTCCCTAAACACCTATCATAAGGGACCTATCCTAAGGATCATCATCGGGATGGACACCACTGATAAGGGGGTTCCTTAGAAATAAATGTCCTAAAGGCAACCATGTGGGGGATGGAGTACACCGGTGAACACATCGTTCACAAACACCTACAGGTTGTGAGCCTGCTAGCATTCTACTGGACTGTCTAGAAAAGTCCGTGGTCGTCATCCATACTCCGCTAGATGAAAAAATCAACAACAACAACATTGAGGCCTCTTGTCATTTTGTCACACATCGTCTTAGTACATCTACCTATGTTTTACCCCCAACATTTTTGTAGATATAAAATACTTATATAGTTTAAATCAATTAAAACATGTATAAATTCGTTCATCCATCATAGACAGCAAGTATTCAGATAATATGCATACTTAGCATGTAATTTATATATAATACTTCATATCTATGTGTAAGATGAAAGTAACTATGCACTCACCTGAGAAGGTGTTGACTCGGCGCTTGGACAGCACTTCGTTACTCGTAACACAATTTTCCTTCGGCAAAACCTAGTATCATTACCACTAGGGTTTAATCTAATATTCACCGAGACTAATTAATAGTCTAGCTATTATTACTATTATATAAGCGTTAAACTATACTTATATAACCCATAATAATAGCTCAAGTACTTATTATAAGGTCCTAATCACATTACTATATTAAAACATAAGCTAAACTAAAGATAGGTTAGGCATAGCTCACTTACAGTGGGTTTTTTTCAAAACCGGGCTTCGCTGGAGCAGCGTTTCTGAGCCAAAAGGCACTTTTCTCGAGGCTTCCTTCGGGTGCTACGGGGTTTACCTTGACTTTAAGGGGGGGGGGGGGGTAGGGCTTTAGAGAGAGAAACTAGAGAGAGAAAGTGAAGTTGGGAAGGTGTGAAGAATGAAGGAACCCGACACCTCTATTTATAGGCTGGAAATCCCAAAAACTCGTCGAGTTGGCCTCCAACTCATTGAGTTCCAGGCCAGGTGTCAGTATTCTGGTGGCGAAACGTGTGTGGCCTACATTGTGCCACATCACCCCTTTTGCAGCAGCACCTTGCTGACTTCTAAGCCCCATAACTTTCGCATACAAGCTCCATTTTCGACGTTCTTTTTTTCCATGCATAGGTAAAAACAAGATCTACAACTTTCATTTAGACTTATTCGGCTAGTTATCGACCGATCTTAAATTTAACAGTAGGAGGAGATTAGACTGCTAAATGACCGCGAAGAATTCGTAACTCCTTCATACGGACAACATTTTCATCTGTCTTTTTACCGTTGAGTTTCTATTAATGAGATCTTAAACTATCATTTAGATCACGTAAGCAAAAAACCGCTCAAACTAAAATTCGAGTTTCGGGTTGTACACTGCTAAGCCGAAACTTTGAGAAATCATAATTTCCTCATACGAAGTCAGATTTGGATGTTCTTTTTATGGATTTTCTCGGTTTAACATAATCTATGACTTTGGTTTAGATTAATAAGACTAGAAAGTCTTCTATCATAAATTCAGTTTTTACGCTTCCTGGTGTTGTGCCGGTTCCGTCACAAAACTTCGACGGGTCATAACTTCTTAGTTATAACTCGGATTCTGGTGTTCTTTATATCCCCAGAATCCTTGTTTTGACCACTAAAACTTTATGTGAATATATAGGGCTTATGTCACACTTTAATTTTGATGCTTATTTTTATTCTTTATGAATTATATCTTTATAATTAAGTATAAAACACATAAATACACATAATTCACATAGTATTCGAATATATCATCTTTATTACTTCAAAAAGAGTTAAAATAGTTGACCTAGACTATTACATTGTCTAAAATGCTTAGCCCCGAAACCCGGGCGTTACAATTCTCTCCCCTTAGGATCATTTCATCCCAGAATCATGCATCAGCAAACAGATGTGGATAGCAACTCATCATGTCACTCTCTGTTTCCCAAGTGAGATTCAGCCCATTCGAATGTTTCCATCAGACTAGCACTAAGTCGACCATCTTGCATCGTAACTTCTTAGTCTTACGGTCAACAATTGACTCGGGCTCTTCGATTAGCCTCTTATTCTTATCCATTCTTAACTCCGAGATTGGAATTATGTCGGGAACTTCTCCTATGAATTTCCTCAAATAACACACACGGAAAGTGTTATGAATACAATCGAGTTCTTCAGGTAATTCTAGCTTGTAAGCTTGGTTCCCAATCTTCTGAAGAACTTTAAACAGTCCAATAAACCTTGGACTCAGCTTTAAGCAAAACCGAATCCCCAACTTCGAAGGTCATCGGTCGTCTTTTCTTGTCAGCATAGCTCCTCTGACGATCCTGACCTGCTATCATTTTTTCCCTAATCGCCTCTAACATTTTAGTACTCTCATGGACTATATCGGGCTCCATAAACAGATTTTTTCCGGCCTCAAGCCAACAAGACGGCGTATGACACTTATATTCGTAGAAGGATTGATAGGGTGCCATCTTGATGCTCGAGTGGAAACTGTTATTGTATGAAAATTCTACCAAAGGTAAGTGCTCGTCACAGTTACCTTGGAATTCCAAGGTACATGCTCTCATCATATCTTCAAGTGTCTGAATCATTCTTTCGCTCTGAACATCAGTCTGCGGATGGTAGGCTATATCAAACACAACTTCATACCCAATTCCTCTTGTAGACTTCTCCAAAACTGTGATGTGAAACAACTATCACGATCTGATACAATCGTTAGAGGAATACCATGAAGTCTTACTATCTCCTTCACGTAAGCATTTGCGAGCTTATCCATAGACCACCTTTCCTTGGCTGCTATGAAGTGTGCACTCTTAGTGAAACGATCCATGGCCACCGAAATCATGTTGTGACCATTCTTCGTCCTGGGCAGTTTGGTCACACAATCCATGGTGATGTCTTCCCATTTACCCATGGGTACAGGTAAAGGTTCTAAACTCCCATATGGTTTCTGATGTTGTGCCTTAACTCTCGCACATGTCACACACTCGACCACATGCTTCGTAACATCGAGCTTCATCTTCAGCCACCAGTAATAGGGTTTTAGGTCCCTATACATTTTAGTGCTACTGGGATGAATTGAGTACATCGTCTTGTGCGCTTCTTCCATTAGAAGTTCTCTTATTCCTCCCATCTTAGGTACCCAAATCTGATCTTGGAATACCTTCAGTCCTTGACTGTTTGTACCGAAGACTAACGTTTTGCCCAAACTGTAACACCGTAAAAATTTGAACAATTTTTCACTTTTGTAAACCATAAAATATCATTTTAAATCATAAACAAATCATTATATCAACTTAGTATCAATACAAATCCCAAGATCAATATATATATATATATATATATATATATATATATATAAACTCCGGTATGCGTGTGTACGAATCATGCCGGCACCTTCCCGCGATCATCGCTAGTACCTGAAACACATAACACATAACACTGTAACCATAAATGCTTAGTAAGTTCCCCAAAATACCACTCTAACACGTAATAGCCACTCGAGGCTGTAACTCTGTTGACCCTCAGGGCTATGTGTCTCAGTGGGGCCTTCCAACCCCAGCTCTCCATGGGCCCTCTGGCCCAAACTCTGTGGACCCGAAATTCCTAACTCTGTGGACCCAAAGGTCCTAACTCTGTAACTCTAAATCATATATAGCACATATCACAATAAATCATAGCACATAAATAACATGCAATTACACTAGCATATAACTCTAAAATACTCTATCACATAGCCCTGTTACCACACTAGGTAAAGTATAGTGAGAAGACTCACCTCAGGCATCTCGGTAAATCTCTGACTTGGTAGGAATATTTCCTAGTCTTCGCCTATTCACATAAAGTAAATACTCTTATAAATATAATTCTCAAGACTAGACTCAACCTGCCTTTGGCACCCTCAGGAGGGAAAAAGGCTATTTTACCCCGCTCTCAACACAAGTACTCCATTGACTAAACCCTAAAAGTCAACTGTCACACTTTGACCCTACTCGCCGAGTTCACTCTAGTGACTCGGCGAGTTCACACATGTTCTTTAACACTTTGTCCCGCTTGGCACGCTGAGTCCCTGTCTATGCTTGACAAGTCATACTAGGCAAGAATCGCGGGGCCACCACGACTCAACTCGCCGAGTCTCAAGAACAACTCGGCGAGTGCCGCCTTGAACTCCAGTCCTCTAACTCCCTTCTGACTCACTGAGTCATCCCCCAACTTAGCAAGTCTACGCACTGAGCAATTTACATGAAACCCTAACCCTACTCGCTGAGTCTCAGGAACAACTCGACGAGTTCATGCCATGCACAAACTCTACTGGCCTCCTGAGGTCAGATCTGTTTCCCTA